TTTTATTTTTTTGTAGAGATGGGGTCTCCCTCATTGCCCAGGCTGCTCTCGACCTCCTGGGTTCAAACAATCCTCCCACTTTGGTCTCCCAAAGTGTTGGGATTACAGGTGTGATCCACCGTGCCCAGCCTGGTACTGCATATTGATTGGGGTGAGAGTCTGAACATTTTTTATTGTAATGGCTCAAGCTATTTTCCATTGATATAAGGGATTTATTTAACAATGGCAACTACCACCAGCATGCCTCACTCACAGAGAACAGCCTTTGGGTGGGGGATTTAAAGAGGTTGGCAGTCCCCTCCTCAATGATAATGTACAAGGTCTTGGACAAGGGAGTAACTTCTGGGATCTCTTAAGGATCAAGGTTCGGGATAGGAGGACAGCTTTCCCCTGATTTTCTTACATCAAGAAATCTCTCCCAGCTTCTCAAAACAGAGTATTGAATCCAGAGTTCAGACAGTCTCATTGACTTCAGGAAACTAAGGCTACCGGTGCCATAGAACAGAATTAAGCGCAGAAGGAATTCAAGAACTTGAGTTGAAATGTCTGTTTTTAATGGCACCAGACAGCTTAAAGAAGGAAATAGTGATGAAAACGTCCCAGATCCTTACCTCAAGGCATGGACCAAAACCTGGGAACTTTCTATGGTTTTTCCCCTTGCAAATGAACACCCTGAGGCAAGGAGTCTTCAGCCTGAGCGGGGACAGTCCCTTTAAGAGGGGAGAAGGGCCAGCTTGGCCAGTATGGGGACTCTGTGGGACTTGAGTCTGGGTCTCTGAGTGCACCGTCCTGTCACTGCTCCCCACCCTTCCTGCTCACCTGGGCCTCACCTCCCACCCTCCATCCAGCCACACATGCAATTCAAGGGCTATGTTCAGTCCCAACTTTGCTCCTGCTGCTCCTCCCATCTGGAATGCCTTTCTCCTCCACCTCACTCAATTCCGATTCTCAGTTCTCACCTCTTCTGGATTAATTCCTGACATCAAATCTAAAATAGTATTCCTTCTGATACACCATCCACATGTGATATGATCAGAATTTCGCCAAGATAAGTTAGTAAAGTCTTGTAATTCTGTTGGTAAGTAAACTTTCTCCTCCAAAGTTTGACTTTATAATTGGTCACCAGGAGCTTGCTGGAATCTGATCTAGTCACAAGCCTGCAGGCACAAGGAGGAGTGCTGTTTTCCTTCCTTGCAAATGAACACCCTTAGGCAAGGAGTCTTCAGCCTGAGCAGGGACAACCCCTTTAAGAGGGGAGAAGGGCAGTCTTGGCCAACATGGGACACTCTGGAAGGCTTGGAAGTCTAGGTCGCCGAGTGCACCATCCTGCCTGCCTTTATTCTGATGCTTAATTCTCACCTCTTCTGGATTAGAACCCTGCAAAGGTTGAGAATTCAACTAATATTGTAACTCAGCAACCCACCAGATCAAAGCAGGCATCTGGGGGTTTGGTTGTGTGAGCCCGGCCTTGATAAGAGATGAGATTCTTTTTCCAGACCATAGAAAGCTCTCGAGTTTGGGTCCATGCCTTGGGCTAAGGCTCTAGGGATTTTACATCACTCTTTTCTTTCTTTAAACTGTCTGGTGCCATTAAAAACAGACATTCCAACTCATAGTGCTTGAACTCCTTCTGCCCTTAATTCTGTTCTATGGTACTGGTGGCCTTTAAAGTCTTGCCTTTGATGGCCACTTCATTTTAGGTGACCACAGGGGGCAAACCTTACCCCAGGACTCAAAGCACCTGCCCCACACACTTGGCTGGTCTCACCCACCCATCTCTCCCCACTGCTTGGATGCTGGGCCTGCTGTAAGCTGATTGTTCAGGAACCCCTGCTTCCCACCCCATATGCCCACTGTTTCAGGGACCCAGGCTCTTTCTGGCAGCAAAAGTTCGCCCATCCCAATCTTAGCCTGCTCATCCAGCCTGCAGCATCCTGCTTGTGAACTGCAGCCTCCCAACCCATCTGTTAGCCAGGATGCCAGCACCCACCCCAGCCTCACCCCCAGGAGCCAGAGCTCCAAACCTGGCCCAAAGAGGCACCAAGAAACCAATCTTGGCAGCCTTTTAACCCAAAACCCCAGAGGAGCCAGCTCTAGGGGACAGTGTGTGGGGCTGAGGGTGGCAGGGACGGCACAGGGCAGGAGATGGCAAAGCCAGACACAAGATTCCAGACTAGATAAGCTGCTGGGAATGGGGAGGGGGCCCGGGTGCAGCATTCCTGGGCAGTGATGCCATCTCCCCAGCATAGAGGGCGGCAGGCAGGAGCCTCTTGTTCCCCCGGAGGACTCGTCCTTGCCGCTATCTGATGAGGGAGCTGTCGGTTACAGGAAGACAAGACTATTAACAGGACAACTCTGGAGAGCCAGAAATTAACCCACCATGCCAGAGGTGGGAAGTGCTGGGCGGGGTGGATAATTGTGGGGCCTTGCAATTAAGGCATCTTCAGAGATGGCACTGGGATCCTAGTCAGCTGGGAACCCCAGAGGACTTTGGGAAGGGGAGTTCAATCCCTGCTCCCCACCCTTCATGCTTACCACCCTCCATCCAGCCACACATGCAATTCACAGGCTATGTTCATTCCCGCCTTTGCTCATGCTGTTCCTCCCATCTGGAATGCCTTTCCTCCTCCACCTCACTCAGTCCTGCCCTTATTTCAAGACCTTGCACAGGCCCTGTCTTATTCAAGAAATTTTCCTAGACCAATCTTATGGGAAGAGGTTGCTCTGAGCTTGCACAATACAGCCCCTTTATCTACTTAGTAATTTATTTTTGAGACACAGTCTCACTCTGTCACCCAGGCAGGAGTGTAGTGGCGTGAACTTGGCTCACTGCAACCTCTGCCTTCTGGGTTCAAGCAATTCTCCTTCCTCATCCTCCCAAGTAGCTGGGACTACAGGCGTGTGCCACCAAGCCCAACTAATTTTTGTATTTTTAGTAGAGACAGGGTTTCACCACATTGGCCAGGCTGGTCTCAAACTCCTGACCTTGGGATCTGCCCACCTCAGCCTCCCAAAGTGCTGAGATTACAGGCATGAGCCACCACACCCAGCCCAGCCCCTTTATATTATGGTGAGAACACAAGACTCAAAGAGGGGCAGCGATTTGCCCAGAGTCACACAGCAGAACCAGGGCTAGAACACAAGACTCCTGAATCCCAGACTAAGATTCTTTCTACCACACCATGAACTCTCCAACCAACAATCAGCTTGAATGTCTTGTGCAAAACTCAGGACATAGAATGAAAGCCCCCAGTGGTTCAAGGAGGATATGATCATATTCATCAAGCATCTGTTTCATTCCACATTCTCTGCAGGGATTGGAGCTGCCAAGGCAAGCAGGCACAGAAGCAACCCTGTTCTCGGGGAGCTTGCTGTCTACGGGGCAGAGAAGACTCTGCCACGGGGTCATCCAAAGATTTGTTCAATAGTAACCAAGAAAGGGCTCAAAGAAGAGGCCCAGACTGCCGAGAGCTTGCATCAGAGGCATTTCACCCGCTGGGGCTCAGGACAAGCCTCTCTAGAGATGCTGTGCCTGGGCTGAGATTTGGAGAGTGAGTAGGTGGCAACCAGGCAATGAGGTGGGATGGGAAAAGAGCATTCCAGACAGAGGGAAAGGCCAGCAAAGGAAGTCCAGGATGGCTGGAGCTCTGAGTGAGGTGAAGGCAGCCTGAATTCTAAGAGGGAGGTCACTGGGCCCAGGTGATGCTGGACTTCCAGCAGAGACATCTGTTCTTCATCCTAGAAGCACTGAGAAGCCCCTGCAGGATTTTCAGCAAGGAAACCACATGTGAGCCTGGTAAGAGTCTAGCTGCAGCACGGGGAAAGGGCTGGAAAGGAGCTAGGTGAATGTAAGAACTGCCAGCAGGCTGCTACACCAGTCCAGTGGGCAGTGAAGGAAGGAGGCAGCAGGAGTGTGTAAAGATGGAATCTTCTGCGGCTGTGGGTCTGGAGACTGGGGGAGTTGAAGGAGAGAAAGGAATCAAGGAAACCCCACTTGGATTTCTGGTCTGTGCAGCGAGTGGAGGGTGGGCAGCTCCTGGGCTGGGGGAAGGAGCTGAGGGTGAGATAAGCTGAGTTAGAGCTGCCTTTGAGCTACTGCAGCTCAGAGCTAGGGACCAAGAGGTGACAGGGCAAGTGCAGATGCAACCCAGACTGTGGGGCTGTGGGCACGAGGCACCTGCTCTGAGCTCTACCTTCTCATGGAGCTCCTTTAACAGGACAAGGGTCCTTGCTCCATTTTCCAGAAGAGAAAAATGAGGCCCAGACAGTGGAAAACAGTTTTCCAGGAGTTTCTATGATAAGAACTTGGTGAAATCAAGATTGGAACTAGATCTGCCTCCCCACAACCCCACCTACATTTCCCACCTGAAGCTGCCCTTAAGATGCCTCCATGGCCTGAGCTTGACCCAGAGAAATAGGGCCAGAAGCTCATGACACAGATGGCACTGCAGGCAGCTCATTAGCATAGGCACTCAGAGGGAACACTCCTTTCAGGGAAGGAAAGGCAAGGAAGACAGCCTGGAGGTGAGTGGGGTCCCTGTCCCTGTAGTCAAGGCCATTGACCACTCCCCAACCTTTCTGTCCATCGCACAAACATGCATGCACTGATGCCAGCTTTGCACTGAGCCCTCTGCTGGTCCCTTCACACCCAAGAGGGGTGCACTGCCCCCATTACACAGTTGAGGAAACCAAGGCTGAGAGAGAAGACGGTCACAAAGTGAGTTAGTGCAGAAAAGGGCCCAGGAGTTTCTGGCCCCAGAATCCCAGTTCACCCTCTCTAAGAGCTGGAAGGGGTTCAGTGAGCAGCTGGTGGAGGAGCCAGTGAGGGACCCTGGGCTGCAGCGGGCCTGGAGCCCAGGGAGTGCAAAAGGACTGGAGGGAGGTGGCTGGCATCAGAGAGCCTCACAGCCAGCTGAGGATCCACGATAACATGTCTCTGCCTCTTCCCTGCACACTCAGGCCCAAGGCAGCATCCCGGCCCAGAGCCGTCCCATTCCCACCTGGACTGTTGCATCCAGTTCTCCCCCTGTCAAGCTTCATCTGGGGCATTATGGTCAGGGCTGGACTCTCTGGTGCCTTTATTCAGAAGAGACTTGGACAAAAGGGCCTGAGACAGAGCCGGTAGTGGCCTCATTGGGTGGGGAGAGAGCAGGACTCATGCAGTGGGTGGAAGGGTGCCACTGCTGGGCCCTTAGCCTGGGGAAGACATGCCTGGGAGACAGTGGACCCTGCTCTGTGAATCTCAGGGGCAGGGTGGGAAGGCCCAGCTGTGCAGAATTGGCCAGTGCCTTGCAGAACCTGAGGGATGGCACAGAAGGGGCAGGGCTTGGAGGGCCATATCTGGAGGGAGAGAAAAGAATTCCAGGGGGGCAGGCACAAGGCCGGTGCCGTCTGGGCCAGCAGGGGGTGCTGCCGCAGCAGAAAATGGCCCCGTGGCCAGCAGGGAGCCTGCCTGGCCTGAGGTGAGTTGGAGGTTACCCAGGCTTCATGAGCCTGGAGCAGGGCATTAAAAAGGCACCCACTCCACAGACTCAGCTACTGAGGCACAGCCCTAGCATGGGAGACCCACAGTGGAGTCATGAACAGGCTGGGTCCACACGAACAGACTGGAGCGTGAATCCTGGTTGCTCCTCTCTGTGACTCTGGGTGAGCGATGGTCAGCCCCAGCCATAACACAGTACTGCAGGTAGGGCAGCTCACAGCAGAAACTCGTTTCTCCCAGCAGGGGCGGCTGGGCAGCCTGGTGGGGGGCTGTTTCTGGAGTGGGCCCTCCTCCTGGCCTACCCTGCACACTCACATGAAGGGAGAGTTCTGGTCTCTCTTCCTCTTCTTATAAGGCCGCAGTCCTATGGGAGTATAACCTCATTTTACCTTCATTACCTCCTACAGACCCTGTCCCCACACACAGTCACGTAGAAGGTCAGAGCTTTAACAGATGAATTTGGGAGCACCAGGGGCATGATTCTGCCCACAGCAGCAAATCCTTTCCTGCAAAGCCTCAGCTTCCACCCCTATGGAGTGACGATGCTCACAGCACGTGCCCTGCAGGGTTGTGAGACATGAACAGGACCGTGCAGCTGAGGCCCGGCCCCTGGCCCAGAGTAAGCCTCCATGAGAAACAGGCAAAGTCCTTCCCAAGGAACCAAGCAGGGGTGGAGGCATCTGGACCAGCTCGGGGGATGTCTGTGTCCTGTGCCACACAGGGCAAGGCAGGGACCCAGCTTATGGCAGAGTGGAGCCTTCAGAGCCGGAGGGGGCTCCAGGGCCGGGAAGGCAGGCAGAGCACCACCGACGGGGCTGGGACCTCGGCCACTTGCCACATTTGCCTCATTTGACCAGCAGACACTTATCAAGCTGCTGACTCATGCCAGGCAGTACCAGGCACAGGGGAGGAGGCGTGCTGGTCCTGCCCTCCAGACTGCAGCAGGGGGCGCCTCCTGCTGGTGTAGCTTGGTAGCATCTGTCCCTCATTGACACCAGCTAAGTATCCCCTTGTGATATGACTTCTCTTTCCCTGTCATGAGGAAACTTCCTCTGCTTCAAGCTAACCTCATAAGGTTGGTATTGGTGCCCCACTACTGAAAAAGGAAAGCTCAGAGAGGTTAAGTGACTTACCCGAGATTGCGCAGTAGAAACAGGGTTTATCTGGCTCCAGAGCCTGTGTTCTTTCCCAAACACACACTGCCTAGAGTGGATTCATGGTGCCTTCCCTATGATGGGCCCAACTAGGACCAGAGGGAGGCTCTGGAAGAACCTTCCACAGTGAGCACTCAGGGGTCCTGAGGGACCCTGGGAAGCCTTATGTCCTAGGTAATAATTGTGGCTCTGCTGCAAATTGGATGATCTTGGGAAAGTCTCTCGCACCAAGCCTCAGTTTCCCCATCCCTCAGATGGAGCTAGAAGTTCATGAAGCACAGGACAGAACACAGCCCCTGCCCTTCACTCCTCACCTCTACTCGCTCCATTCCAAAGATCCACCCTCAGGATCAGCCCCCACCCCCGGGGCAGGCGGTGGCTGTGCTGAAGGGCAGTCCACCTTCTCAGAGACATCGTCCCATGGGGATTTGGGGACGCACGCTCCCAGCATAAGACGCCCTCTTGATGTGCTGGGCACCCCTTGAGGCTTCCTGAAGGCCCTCAGCAGACCAGCTCCGGCTGGGGAAAAACAGCAGACCCAGGAACAGGGGATGCCCTGGCCCGCTCTGGACTATTCCTTGGTCTCTGGACCTTCAGGGCTCCCCTGGCCACATGGGACGTTGCAGGCTTGGCCCAGCTTGGAAGGGCCCCTCAGCCCTGGTATACCCAAATAATAATTAAATTCCCTGGTCAAGCCCATTGGATCAGATGAACTCCCTTCATGTGAATATGGACATCAGGCCACTGAAATGCCACACCGACTGCCCACCTTTCCCCAGCCTCTCACTGAAGATCCTGTAGGGGAAAGCTGCTTCCACTAAAAACGATTCAGTGCTTTGGAAAATACGTGCAAGAGTTGCAGGCAAAAGAACTGCCAAGACACCCCCCAGCCAAGCCCAAGGTAAGGCTGCAAGTGCTTTGGAAAGAATTTTTGGCAGCCCAGGTAGATCGTGTTAACCGAGATGTCCAGTGTGCCTCAGAGAAAGGCAGCATTAGGAAATTCAACATCTGTTGGCCTCCAGGACCTGGCGGTGGGAGAGCCTGCACCCTGGCCAGGGTGGCACACATGGTTCTCGTTTGCATTTCAGAAGCAGTTTCGGTTTTAGTTGCATAAAATAAAGGTCTTTCTCTCTCTCTCTCCCCCTACCACTGTAAAAGTAATGCTTGTTTAAATAAACTTGGTAAATATGACCATAAGGAAAACATATAGCCCTGTCTCAACAAGGAAAGGCCCCCAGCCCTGTCTCACCCCAAGCACGCTTGACATTCGCTGACGTCCTTTTGTTCCTTTGCTTCCCCCTGTGCCTTAGAACGTGCTCCGTTGTCTCCTGCTCAGTACATGTAAGATTTCATGAGATTTCCCTTTCATTCTAAGTTCTTCCTCCTCCGAGAGGCTGATCCCATGGCACACAATCTTAAAATTGTTTCCTGCTATTCTGCACAAAGCTGTGAAGCATACCTTTGTGCCAAAAGCTGTTTCCAATTTTTTAAATATTTCCTTCGAATTGCTTTTTCCGAGTGGGATGGGTGATCGGATGGGAGAGGAGTGTGGAAGGTTCTAGATCCAAAGGAGGCCCCTCTTGAAAAGGTGATTCTTTGCACCTGTGAGAGCCAGAGATGGTTACAGGAAAGATGGCTCCTCAAGCGAGGAGCCCTGTACAATTTGTCCTTGAAATGGCCAGAAGACATCCCCAGGGACACTCTCCCTTCTGCTGAAGCCCACAAGGATGGGGGTGTCACAAGTGGCCCTAGAAAGAAGACTGGGGCTCCTGATCCTGACAGAGGCCCATCTTTGCTTCATCTCAGAAGCAGCAGCTCCAGCGGCTGGAGATTTCTTGTGGGGATCGCAGTCTGATGTGTGACTGTCATGTTGTCTGTGCCACTGACGAGCTGTGTGACCTTGGGCAAATTACTTAACCTCTCTGAGCCCATTTCCACATCTAGAGAATGGCAATAATAATGGCACTGACTTTCCTTGAGTTGCGGTAAACATTAAGTGGAGTAATGTTTGCAGCACCCTGAGCCCAGGGTTGGCCACACCACTGCGGCGTCCCACGTCAGCAGTGACACCCGCACTGGAACTGTTGTAATGACTATGCTTTTGCTGCGTCTTCCATGCTGTCCAGAGCTTTCCTCTGACTTCTCAGTCTTCATTCCTTCAGGGTAAGTGGGGCTGAGAATGATTCCCTCCTCCTAAAGTTGTTGGAACCGGCCCAATACGTGTAAACTGCACAGACTCCGTGGTATCTTACGTGGCAGCCTGTTAGTATCCTCCAGTGGAGGAACTCGCGACCTTTGGATCAGGCTTCAGGGGCAGCCAAAGCCTATTTCTGGCTCTACCGAACATGCTGGCCTCAACTTCCACAGAATTCCTCCAATTCCAAACCCCAAGGATCTGGGGTCGTGCAGCACTGAGGTCCAGTCCCAGGTTCATCTCTCCCAGCTGCCTGTCCTTGAACAAGTGCATCAGCCTCTCTGAGGAGCCTCGAGCTCCTCATCTGTAAAGTGGGGACTCCAATCATGGAGTTGTTAGGAAGAGTCCACGGACTCAGGAGTGTTCATTGTGTGTGAATTTCCTTTCTCCTGCAGATCCTGAAGGGATTCGGTTGTTATGGGGGAATGAAAAAGATTTAAGAGAAAAAGCCTAAATTCTGGGCAAAATCAAGAATCCTGCTTGAGCAGTGGTGAATCAGCGTTCTCAGCCACGCCTGCTCCTATCTCCAAGGCTGCTTGGAAACACCGGTTAAGTCCCAGATTTAGCCCCAGAGCCTGACAGCATGGCGCAAAGTTCTGTTTTTTAGACAGTTCATGGCTCTTCTGCCTCTGTGAAGAGAATGGTGATGGGGATGGGGGCGATGTCACTGGGCACACAGTTATGAAGCCCTGTGTACCAGTCCCCATGGAAGCCTCCAGGGTTAAAGATGAGGTCCCCACTCCAGAGACCCTCTGTTCTCATGGCGGCTGGAAATCAAGACTGCAAATTAAGGAAGATGAGCTAAGCTGAGATGAGCTGGCAAGTGAAGGAAATAAACAGGAGGGCGCAAAGGAATAAGGGAAGGGCTGACTTCCGCTGGAGAGGAGGTGTTTGGGTGGCGATTTGATGGAGGAGAAGGGGCCCGCCGAGACTTGGGTGCAAAGGTGCTGGGCGGGAAATCAAGCATGATATGCACAAGAAACAGCAAAGAAGCCAGGGGCTGGGATGTGGTGACCCAGGCGGGTGTGGGGGGAGCCAGATCGCCACCACTCAGCCTGAAGCACAAAGCAGTGGGGTTTTGGATGAAAGGATGAAGTGAGGAAAGACAGCAGATCTGTTCTGTGTGGCTCATGGGGGCAGCTCCAGAGGGGCAGCTTCCAGCGCACCCTAAGGCCAGGCTTCCAGATGGACAGAACCATCTAAGGGTGGAAACAGGTTCTTCATAAGGGAGTAAGCTCCCCGCTGCCAAAGGCTCACACGCCAGAGGAACAGATGACTTGGAAGGGAGCTCCAGGTCGCACTGGGCTGCACACATTCATTCCCTTGGTCATTCAGTGGACCGTGGACAGTTATGGATGCTGCTGTGACCTATGCTGGATGCAGGGGTGACTGAGATGGGTCTGTTGTGCCACTGCTCTTGGGGAGGTCATTGCCCAACGGGGAGGAAACCCTGGGAAGAGGGTGGAAAGGATGTGGGGTCACCAGAAGGAGGACAGAGCAAGCATGAGGGCCGCAGAGGAAGGAGTGAGAGGAGGAGGACAGGGGAGGGAGGGAGGAGGGAGCATTTGTGGCTGGAGAGAGGCGTCATGGTAGAGGAGCACAGGAGGTGGGTTCCTGGACTCCCCCTTCCCTCTCGCTATGTAACTCTGACTGCACCAGCTCCTCGTGTGCTAAACGGGAACAGGAACCCAGCTGCATGTCCCACGTGGAATGCGGCTGGCTGTGGCAGGCAAGGGCTCCGAACTTTTATTGCT